TGAGAGAGTGACACTGGGGACTGTCTATTCCACCATCTTGACCAGAAGCCTATATCTTTTTATTTTCTAATGTGCACATTCCATGCTGTAAATTGCCCTGTAAGCACTGCTTTCGCTGTATCTCATTAATTTGATAATTTGTATTTTTAATTTCAATCAATTCAAAATATTTAAAATTTTCTCTTGAGATTTCTTCTCTGACTCATATGTAATTTATCAGTCTATTCTTTAATCTCCTAGTGTTTTGGGATTTTCCAGCTATCTTTCTGTTATCGATTTCTAGTTTAATTTTATTGTGGTCAGAGGGCAGACATTGCATGATTTCTACTCTTTTACATTTGTCAAGGTGTATTTTATGCCCTGGAATGTGGTCTGTCTTGGTCAATATTTCATGTGAGCTTGAGAAGAATGTGTATTCTGCTGTTATTGAATGAAGTAGTTGATAAGTGTCAGTTATATCCAGTTGATGTTGATGTCAAGTTCAACTATGTCCTTACTGATTTTCCGCTTGCTACATCATCATTTCTGATAGAACGGTGTTGAAGTTTTCACTAGACTAGATAATAATGATTCCAACTGTAATACTGAAATCATCTATTTCTCCTCAAAGTTCTATCAGTTTTTGCTTCATGTATTTTGATGCTCTGTTGTTAGGCACCTATATGTTAAGGATTATTACTTCTTGGAAAATTAACCCCTTATGTCATGCCCCTCTTCATCCCTGACAACTTTATTTGTTCTGAAGTCTGCTCTGCCTAAAATTAATATAGCTATTCCCACTTTGTTTTCATTAGCATGGTATATTTTTCTCCATGCCTTTATTTTTAATCTATATGTGTCTCTATATTTAAATTGAGTTTCTTGTGGACAACATATAGTTGGGTTTTGGTTTTTTAATCCACTCTGACAATCTCTGTCTTTTAATTGGTGTATTTAGACCATTGACCTTTGAAATGATTATTGATATAGTTGGATTAATATCTATGATGTTTGCTACTGTTTTCTATTTTTTGCCCTTGTTCTTTGCTCCTGTGTTTTTCTTCCACTCTCTTTTTGCCTTTTGTGGTTTTAACTGAGTGTTTTATGTGATTCATTTTCTCTTCTTTCTTAGCATATCAATTATACTTCTCTTTTTACTTATTTTAGTGGTTTCCCCAGAGTTAGCAATATGTATTTATAATTAATCCATGTCCACTTTCAAATACTTTCAAATAATACTGTACTGCTTCCTGGTAGCACAAGTACCTTATAATAACAAAATATAGTCATGTGCTGCATAACAACATATTGGTCTACAACTGAATATACAACAGTGGTCCCATAAGATTATAATCGAGCTGAAAAATTCCTGTCACCTAGTGACATTGTAGCCATCGTAAGACTGTGGCACAACAAATTATTCATGTAGGAGCAATAGGCTATACCATGTGGCCTAGGTGTATAGTAGGCTGTGCCCTCTAGGTTTGTTTAAGTATACTCTATGATGTTTGCACAAAAGCAAAATCCCTTAACACACTTCTCAGAAGGTATCCCTATTGTTTAGAGACACATGACTGTAATCCTCATCTCTCCCTTCCATCCCTTGTCTCATTGCTATCATGCATTTCACTTAAGTATGCACAAAAGCACATAATCACACTTAATCACATATAATTGAATATCTTGTCAATGTTATTTTGAGCAAATTATTACCTGTTAGATCAATTAAAAATAAGAAAAATAAAAGTTTTTATTTTGCCTTTATTTATTTCTTTCCCAGTGCTCCTTCTTTCTTAATGTAGACCCAAGTTTCTGACCTGTATAATTTGTCTTCTCTCTGAAGACAAATGTTTCTTACAAGGCAGGTCTACTGCCCACGAATTCCCTCAATTTTTGTTTGTCTGAGAATGTTTCTATTTTTCCTTCACTTTTGAAAAAGAATTTTACAGGGTGTTGGTCTCTCGCCACCGCCTCGTTACTGGGGACCAACAACACAGGGCGGGAGGAGGGATCCCGGACCAGCCGGCGATAACCTCCTGTGGGGCTGAGCGGGATGGTGAGTGTCGCAGGCCCGACCCCCTCTGCGCTTCGGCCCGGGGCAAAGAAAGAGACACCGAGCCTGGAGAGCGGTCAAAGCCGGAACTCCGTTTATTGCCAGGGGACAGGAGCTTATATAGAGAGGACAGGGTGGGGGAGCCGTCACCCAATCAGGGGCGGCCGCGCCGCGGAGGGACGGGAGAAAGTAGGGCGGGAAAAAAGTGCAGAGTCATAGAACCCCGGAAAAGGGAGTAGTTAGGTACGTGCGCTTTGGCCCACATGAAATGGCGGCGGCGATCTTGAGGCTCGCGCGCAACATGGCTGCCACCCTGCCCCCGCCAAGAAACAGACATATGGGAAAATCCCTTATGGCGAAAATGCACGTAATATGGCCCAACAACAGGGTACAGAATTCTGTGTTGACGGGGTTTTTTTTCCCTGAACATTTTAAATATTTCATTCCACTTTCTTCTTGCTTGCATGGTTGCTGAGGAGAAATCAGATATAATTCTTATCTTTGCTCCTTCATAGGTGAGGTGTTTATTTTCCTCTGGCTTCTCTCCGAATTTTTTTCTTGATCTTTGATTTTCTGTAGCTTGAAAATGATATGCCTGGGTAGAGGTTTTTGGCATTTATCATGCTTTGTGCTTTCTGAGTTTCTTGCATCTGTGGTTTGATATCTGACATTAATTTAGGGAAAATTCTTAGTCACTATAATTTCAAGTATTTCTTTTTCTTTTCTTTCTTTTCTTTTCGTTTTTTTTTTTTTTTGGTTTTTGTCTTTTTTGTTGTTGTTGTTTAAATATGACTGGTAAGGGGATCTTAACCCTTGACTTGGTGTTGTCAGCACCACACTCTGCCAAGTGAGCCACGGGCTGGCCCTTGCCCTTTCTTTTTCTTATGGTATTCCCATTATGCATATATTATATCTTTTGTGGTTTTCCTACAGTCCTTGGATATTCTGTTCTTTTTTCAGTCTTTGTTCTTTTTGTTTTTCCATTTTCAAAGTTTTGACTGATATATCTTCAAGGTCAGAGATTCTTTTCTCAGGTGTGTCCAGTTTACAAATAAGCCCATCAGAGGCATTCTTCATTTCTCTTACTGATTTTGATCTCTGGCATTTCTTGTTGATTCTTTCTTAGGATTCCTGTCTCTCTGCTGTCAGTGCCCATCTATTCTTGCATGCCATCTGCTTGATCCATTAGAGCCCATAGCATATTAATCATAGTTGTTTTAAATCCCCAATCTGATAACTCCACCATTTCTGCCATATCTGAATCTAGTTCTGATTCTTGCGCTGTCTCTTCAAACAGTGTTTTTGCCTCTTAGCATGCCTTGCAATTTTTTTTTTTTTTTTTTTTTTTTTAACCGTTGGCCAGTCAGGGAGTCCAAACCCTTGACTTTGGTGTTATCAGCACCGTGCTCTGACCAGTATTTTCTTGATAGCAGATACGGTGTACTAGGTAAAAGGAATTCCAGTAAATAGGCCTCTAGTATTGTGGTGGTAAGGCGTGGGGAAGGAAAAGCATTCTATAGTACTATGGTTAGCTCTACATCTTTTAACAAGCCTGTGCCTCTGAACTGTGAAGTTCACAAGTGCTTTGGGTGGGACAGGATGGCTAGAGTGGGCTGGAGTTGGGCATTTTCTTTCCCCCAGTTCAGTTAGAATCTGATTTTTAAAAAACTCAGTTGTTTAAGCTCTGGTAAAATAGTTTATCACAAGATCAGGCCTTGTTAAGAAGAGCAGAATCCTCTGGCTTATATCAAAAATAGTTCTTGCACCCTTTTCCTGATGGAAGCACAAGGGGATTTTTCTCCTGTGTTTACTGTGAGAACCTGGTTGAGCTCCTAGAAGTAAAACTCACAAAAGACTGGGGCCTCCCTATGAGTGGCCCCCTGGAGTTTTTGACTCTCGGACTTGTCCACATTGAGCCTCCAGCAATTCATCGGTCACAGTTGAGGTTTTCCTACCCTCGCACACTGTTCCTGTGGAGCTCTCGGCTTGGGGGTTTATGTTCTAGTGGGTTTGATTCTCTGTATTCTCCTGGCCGTCTGTTCTATTTCAGGGGCAGCAGTTTGCCCTGGGACCTCACTCTACCCATGGGTCTAAGAAGAGTTATTGATTTTTTCATTTGTTCAGCTTTTTGCTTGTTAGAACAGAGTGATGATTTCTAAACTCCTTACATGTGGGACTGGAAACTGGAGCACTTTATGTTTTCACCTTTGATGTCCTACACCGACAGCCAAGAGATGTGGGTACAACAAAGATATTCTTTGAAATCAGATTGTGGATCTGGAAGGGGCTTAGAAGTCCAAGCATGGATGTTCCTCTCTCAGTAATATTCCAGCATGTTAGCAGAGTGATGGAGCAGGCTGTGTTCACATGACCCCTTTTGGTACAGAATTCAAATAAACCTTTTTCAGAGAAAGAAATCAAGTTCTAAAAATAAAAGAGTGGCTTTTGTAGAAGGAAAGAGTAGAATAATGGTTACCAGAGGCCAGAGGGGTGGGGAAGTGGAGGATTAATGGGTACAAAGCTATGCCATCTACACTAAATGTATCAACGTATAGTACATGCTTGTATTGAAACAACCCACAGTACCCCACGATATGTACAAATAAATTTTTAAAAAATTAAAGAATATTTAATAACACCATGACAAAAAAAGAAATCAAGTTCTAGAATCAGTGTTCTGTTCCCTGAAAGGAAATTTAAATGTGATATTTATTCATATTTAATATATGAGTATGAAAGAATGTGTAAAAGGAAGTAACTAGAAACAGTGGTTATCTCTGCAAGGTGGTTTGGATGATTTTAGTTCTGGGTGATAGGATGATCAGTGATTTTTCTTTTTCTTTTTGTTTTACTGAATGTTCCAAATTCTAGCTAATGCACATATGCTACTTTTACAATCAAAAAAAAAAATAAAGGTAACATTTGAGGCCATGAACATTTGGATATCTCTTCTTGTGTCTTTTTGTAGTCTGCAAAATGAATGTTCACCGTCGATGTGAGACCAACGTAGCTCCCAACTGTGGAGTGGATGCCAGAGGAATCGCCAAAGTGCTGGCTGACCTGGGTGTCACTCCAGACAAGATCACCAACAGTGGCCAGAGGAGGAAAAAGGTAACTGGCCAGGTGCTGGTGTTCCTGGAGCTCTTTTTAGGCAGGTATCTCTGTGCTGGCTTCCAGAGAGTTCCCTGGACTGAAGTTATAAGATTCCTGGGCTTGAGGCATTTTATTCAAAACAGTGTATTCTTAAAGAAACAAACAAACAAAAAGAGTCCAAGCAGGTAACAGTAAAGTCTCCTTTAGCTCCAAAAGTGGGGGGGAAACAGAGGAAGCCTCAAATGTGATGTTTGTCACAGAAACATAAGCTTTGAGATGAGGACTTTCGAATTCCTTCCAGAAAAAGCTTAACAATTCTAGACAAGGAAATAGACTTATCTGCCTCCAGAACTGGCATGAAAACAATGTCAGTGTCTGAACTTTGCCCTTGGCATCATTATAATGAGGATAAATGGCTGAAGAGCTGGAATCACTTTTTTTTCTATGGAGGAAGCCAAGAAAATTTGTGATAGTACCAGCACTGAGCTGCCTGAGGAATATTGTTAATGTCCCACGACATGAAACATCTGGAACTTTCTTTGGGGACCAAAACCTTGTCTCTCTCCATGTGACATTCTGAATGTCAGTAGGAAGAGATCCATTACTAAAATGTTATTTTGGTAAGTCAGGGCCCACAGACGTAAATAGAGCTGACAGCACCCGTAGCATTTTGTTTGCAGGCCCATTAGCCTTGGCTTCTACCCTAGAAAGTTTAAGAGGCCTTCAAAAGTAAGTTATGAGGAAATCAGAACCGTGTTAATTGGGCAAGAAATCCTGGGGGAGGGCGGGATGGGGGTGGCCCTCGTTGCCCAGTGACAAACATTCTCAAGGTCTTTACTAGAAAAGTAAGTCTGACTCTAGGTGCCTCCACAATCTTGACACCTAAATGTTCTTCCTAAATTTTGCCTGCAAATACCCTCTGAAGGGTCCTATGTTTCCTAATCATCTCCCCACTTTAAAACCTGCTCATGTGTCCCCTGGAGCCTCCTAGAGGAGCCTTTTCTCGTGAATGAGAAGGGTTGTTTTTGTCTTCCTAAACTTCTCCTTCTCTCCATTCCCAGTAAACAAAGCTGTTTTGCAAGGGACTCAGAAAAAAATTCTCTTCCCCCTGGTTGAGTAACTATGAGATTTTGAGCTTTTGGTGGCTCTTCTTGGCTCTCTAAGTCCCACTAGTGGAAACAGGATTTCAGCTGTTGACCTGAGGCGTTGGAACTGCAAGCAGAATGCTAGTACCCGAGAATGCTAGAGCCCCCCCGAAGAGGCGACTTAAGCAAACACTCTGTGATGACAGTGCTAAACAGATACATTCGTGAGCTCTAGAAAGGGCGCTTTTCAGGATTCGTGGTTTTTTCTCCTGCTAGAAGTAAATTAAGACTGAATCTTTAATTTTCATAAAACATTTCAAAGAAAATTCTATACCTGCCCTCTCCAGTATATTTACATGGGCTGCAATGTTAGCAATGAGGCATTATCTGCCTATCTTGGATGTGGAACCCAGTGATAAGAAGCCAACATGAAGAAATGCAGGAAGGGCAGAATGAAGGCCTAAGGGACTGTAGTCCTGATATTTTTGTGGCTGTGATGCTTCTAATGCAACAGCAGAAAAAAAGCCAAGTAGTAGCCAAGTTAGCATGAGGGGATAAAAAAGAAGTGCCTTAGCAGCTAAAAGGGCTTCTTTGCAGGAGCATCAGACTTGCTGTAGTTTTGGTTCTCCTCATGTTGTCCTAGCAAGCAATCCATCACCCAGAAAGGCCACATGCACACAGTGAGTGGACCGAGTAGGAGGGAGCAGAAGTGCTTGTGATCTCTTAGTCCAAACCACTGACTTTAGTGGTGACTTAAAGTGGATATGCCAGCATCCATGCCAAGAAACACACTTCACTGGGGGTGTGCTGTTAAAATTTGCTAGCAAAAATCAATACATCTGAAAATATTTACTGAGTATCTGTTATGTGTATTACTTGGTGCAAGTCACTAGGGACAATAAGAGAACTGGATAGAGCCTTACCTTCAAAGAACCTGTAGTCTAATTGAGTAGAGAACCCCACACTGTATACACATACAGATATTATTAACAGTACAAAGCTGAATAGGATAATGAATGAATATCAGACAAGTGTCAGGGACACCAGGCGTTACATTGCTTTGGATGAGATAACTCGCGTTGCCTAGATAGGCAGAGGAAGGTTTTATGGGAGAGGTGGGACTGGGCTTTGCTTACAGAAGTCAGCCATATTTGGATGGAATAAAAATTGACCAAACTGAAGTCACTTGCTTTCTTCTCTTTAATTGAGTCTTCCAGAATATCAGTTCAGCGACTGCTGCTGTGCACCAGGAACTCTTACAGCTCCTGGTGTAGTCTCTTGATGCTTTTGACCTCAGGGAAACTCTCAACTTTCCCGTCTGATGCCTCTCTTCGTTCTTTTTCTCCTCTCAAGCTCCTTGCCGGTGCTGAGTCTCCGCAGCCTGCTTCTGGAAGCTCACCGTCTGAGGAAGATCGATCCAAGTCAGCACCCACCTCCCCTTGCGACCAGGGTGAGACCCTCAGATTTGCTTCCTTACCTCTGAGCTCTGTCATTGGAAGGGCCAAAGAGCTTGAAGTCTCTCTACTCAGGAATGACCTTGTTAGCTGCAACAACCAGCAGCCCTGGAAGATCTTCAGACCCCCTTTCCCTATTGTTTTAATAGTAGTTCTTTCCCTCTACAAGGCTTTCTTGAGGGCTGGGTACTAAGTGGCTGTGCCTGCCTTAGATTCCTTCCAGGCCGTGGTAAGAGAAAGAGCATGTGATGTTAGGGTTCTTTACTTTCTCTTGCCTCTTCCTCAGCTCCAGGTGCAGAGGAGGAGGAAGGAGGGGCACAGCTCCTTCTCTTACCACTCTGCCCCAGTGTCTGGCCCTAGACCTGTCAGTGCCACTCCCTTGAGTTGAGTCTGACACCACCCTGTCCTAACTCTAATCACCGTAACCAAAACCTGAGATCAGGTTGAGTTGGGGAATGGGTGGGGAAGGGTAGAAAGAGGAAGGTAGAGAAGAGGTGGGAAGCGAGCTGCCTCTAGCCCTGACTCCCGTCTACAGCTCATCTCAGGACGTCTCCTTCCGCCTGAATATGCTTAAGAATGTGCTTAAAGTAGTAAGTTGTGCAGGCATAGTGTGCATCATAATAACCCTGCAGGCATTTAAGAATGCTGAGGCTGAGGAGGGACTTATGCATTCAAACGCTTCCACTCTGATGGCTGGTACCAAATGTCACCGGGAAGGAATGTATGTATCTGCAGAACAGGAATAATCACCGTAGTGCAGCAATAGTGCCCTGATGTTCTGGACCCCCTTTCTATTTATTATCCTAATTGTATGCTCACACCAACTCACTGATGGTGCTCCGTCTCTGTTCCCAGGTTACAAGGTGGGAAGTGGAAGTTCAGAGAGTGGAAAAGCTTTGTCCCAAGGTCAGGAACTAAGTCAGTGGTAAGGGTGAGACTGCCCCCCTGGCTTAGGGACCCCACTCTCAGCATCCATGCCACCCAGCCCTCCTTGGAGGTCATCACTTGTGACACAGCCCTTCACACCCAGGAGTAACACAGCTTCAGGGGCTCATGTGTCCGTCCTGAGGCCACAGAACAATTGGTCTCAGTCCCTCTTCGTGCTGCTCCAGTTAACTTTCTGTGTCTTTATAATCTACTTCATTCCAAAAGAAGGAACCTGACAGTACTCTGGGGCCTCCAAACTGGTAGATATTATCCCGGACCAGTGTGGGCATTTTTATGTTTCCCTTTTTACTTCTGAGACCTCCCTTGAGAGCTTCAAAGAGACAGGGTCCTATAGTAAAGGAGACCCCAAGTAAGAAGGAAGCAACCATGGTTTCTAGGCCTGGCTCCTGCCCGGCATGCTGTCTGGCCTTGGCAAGACGTGGGGCCTCTCAGGGCCTCCACTTGTCCCCTGGTACTGCAGGTACCAGTATTTCCCAGCACTGATGTGAGCACTAATGGATGGAAAGTTCCTCTTAGCAAGACATGGCATTATAACAGGACAGAAATAAGACAGTTTCTTTTCCCTCCCCTGTAGGAACACACAGAAAGATATTTTCTCCTAGTTCTGGTGTCCCCAAACACCTATGTTCTGCCTTCCAAAATCCCTTTAATAATGGAGACTTTTAGCTCTATGGTGAGATTAAAAGTTGTGCTTAGTTTAGAGTAAGAGATAGAAAGTGTTAAACTTCAGGCGGGGGGCATGTCTGTAGACTCAACAGCTGTCCCCATCTCTACTCTCCCCGCTACCCCAACACATCTCAGAGGAATCAAACTCCAGATCTGAGAAAGATCTCTAGTCTCCTTGAGGCAGCTCTCACTGGCCTCAGTCCTTCTGAAAAGAAGCTGAAGTAGGTTTCTCTTGTCAGGTGGTCCCTGGTCACCCATGCCTGATTCTGATTCCCAAGAGCTAAAAGTCTGTGTCCCCCTTCCATTATCCCAGTAACTCACAAGCATCTTTTAAAATCGGATTATGCTCGGGATGCTCATTTCTGTACAGACAAGTGCATGTCTTGGTGAATGAACAGCTATCAATAAAGCTCCTTCAAATAGAAAAGGTCAAAGGATAATCCAGTGTTATCACCTTCAGGCAATTCAGGTCACATTCTCTGGAGCGGGCACAAGACCTCTCATGTTGTGAAATTGTACTGAGGATTTCTCACCACATCAGAGATAAATTTGCAACACGTCACTCTGGGAAACAATTCTAATGATAAGCGCATTGCTTGTTTTGTCAGATAACCTTGTGTGAGATGGGTATTTAGAATAAACCCAGCAGTAAGTCCAAGTAAAGACCTTTACAAGGGGAAGGCTTTCTACTCCTAACTGTTGAAATAATTATATCACCAATGATTATTGTGATGCTGGTTCTTGATTAGTTCTAATCTTCAGAGGGGAAGGGTACCTGTTGCCATTGTGACTGTGCAGAGTTCTAGAGAAGGCCTGGATTCTTGCACTACACCTAGCATAACGGAATAGGCTACTATCCAAAGGGGGCTGTCAGAGCGGTGGTCAGGCCCTTTGAAATCTGAAGGAGCTTGTGGAGTCTCTGCTCCTCAAGGGACCTCTTTGCATACCTAGTCCCCGCTGTATGTTAGGTGCCAATGAAAGTGTGTTGAACAGATGAAGGAGCTTATGAAGAGATGCCATGCAAGATCTGTTGCCATAGAGAGCCAGAAAGAGGGTTGGGAGCTCATGGGGGAAATTCTGACTATCAAGTCCCAATGGGAAAGGCTCATGAGATGCACATTCATGCAATATCTTGTTACCCTTGGCCCTAGAAATAAAAGAACTTGAAAACAACATCCGGAAGGCTTTGTCATTTGACAACCGAGGGGAGGAGCACCGGGCAGCATCATCCACCGATGGCCAACTGGCAAGCCCTGGAGAGAATGGTGAAGTCCGGCAGGGCCAGACCAAGCGCTTGGGCCTGGATGAGTTCAACTTCATCAAGGTGTTGGGCAAAGGCAGCTTTGGCAAGGTCTGTGGCCCACATGGGTAGAACTGATGAGTTTCTCTACCCCTCGGCATTGCCTCATGCCAATCAATCTCTGTGATCGGATATTGAATGAGGAACATTTCAGCCTGGTCTTGTTCCTAATTGAGTGAAGAAAATGGCCTGAGGCCAAGCAGATAGGAGCTCTGATTCTGCTCTTAATTGGCTATGAACTTTAGTGTCATCATTTCATCTCTTTAGGATGCAGTTTTTCTCATTCATTCAATGGGAACAGGAATCAAGTGAGATAGTGGATGAGAAAGCACTTTGAAAAGTATCAAATGCTTTGCATGTGCTCAGCATTCTATTATCAATAATAATAGTACAGTTCTTCCCTCCTTCGGACCTCCTTCTGAAATTGTTTCTAATTCATTAGGAAGACTTTGAAAATGAACTCTAGAATCTCTGCCCTCAGTGAACTCAGAGTTCAAAGTGAATCTTAGCATGTATTATTTTGGAAGTTAAATGTTATATAACTGATTTTTCTGGCACTTACTAAATGTTCTGTTTATATCCTCTTCATGTAGCAAGAGAATAAGAATAATCATCTCATGTCAGGTCAGGGTCCTCTGCCCTTGGGGCCATTCTCCATGTCCTGCTCCCCACTGAGACGAACATGGTGGTGTGGATGTGCCTCCAAGTGTGCAGAAAAGCATTAATGGTGACCAGCCACCACTCTGATGGCTGGGTGAGATGGAATAGTAATCCCCGTTCATTCTAGAAAGAAGATGGAGGTGCAGAGAGCCAAAAAAGCTGGTCGGCATCTCAGCTGAGACCCCTGATTGTCCCCTGGCTCTTCTCAAAACTGTGCCTGGAAGTTGATGAGAGTCACTTTTTTGGAACCTCTTGGAGCAGAGGCCCTGCTCTGGGAACCGGGCAGCTCCAGGATTACATGCCCTCACATGTCCTGGATTCTTGAAAGCAGCCACCTGTAGGTCAGTTGGCTGAGCTGCAGGCCCATTCCACTTCCCTGCAAAGGGAAGGGCTCTGAGAAGCCCCCGGGCACAGGGCCTGGTTCCCAGACATCTCACTGGCCCCTCTCTCCTCCTGAGCAGTATGGTAACTGGAGTTTGCTTCAGTGGCAAATGAAGCAATCACATTCGTTAGAGACTGGCTAAATAAGGAGCAGACTGCAGTCCCCTGGCTAGGCATAACTCTGGGATGTGAGCAGGACTTGGTTTAATTTTGAACAAGATTCAAAGAAAACATCAGACTCAGAGTTTTCAGGTTTCTATATAGTATAGGCAGGATGGGAACTTGATGACTCTGGAGCATTTAGGTTTTTTCCTAGGAAAAATGACAGCCAAAGTTTGAGCCAGTTTTAAAGAGTCTGTATTATGTAGGCGGTGAAAAGTCTCAGGTTAACATCACGAATGCTCCTTAGTTTTTACAGTTTACATTGGAATACTATACTTAGCAGTTAGTTATTTCAAAAGAAAAGGCTTGTAACATTATAAGAAAATGGGTACAAAAATATCAAATGATAGGAAAACTTTAGGAAAATAGAATTGTTAATTGGCTCTCTAGAGAAGGAATCACTTTTCCTGCTTTAAAACTATAGAAGAAACCATAAAAGCAAACAAGGGTAGATTCAACTATGTAAAGACAAATTATTCTGCTCAATAAAGTAACAGAAAATTGTAAAACAGGCTTAGAAAAACCTTTGCAAAAAGTAAAGCATTAGTATCCTTGTATATCATATACAAATTTGTAAGAAAATAAGACAGCAGATAACTAGATAAAGGGCATATAAATAATTCACGTAAAAAGAAATATAGTTAGAAAACCAATATTTAAAAAGTTTTGTTGAAAGTTAAAACAGCATCAAGGTAACATTTCACACCATTAAATGAGCAAAAAACTTTTTAAGTGAAAGCACGTGATGTTGGTAAATTGCCATGAAACTAAAACATTTCTGCAATGCTAGTGGCACATTACAGTGTACATCATTTCTGAAAATCAGTTAGGAGATGTGCAAAATGTTTAACCCTTTAATCTACTTCTAAGAATTTCTATCTTAAGGATGTAATCCAAAAGAAATAAAAAAAAATTTATATACAAAAATACTCAATGCAATTTATTTATATAATATTTAATCATTATATATAACTTAAGTATCTAATATGAGGAAAATGCTTAAATAAATTGCAGTATATTTACTTTGAATTGAGTATCAGCAACCATGGTAATGATAGAAACCATATAGAAAAAGGCTTACAAAATAATGGTTCTGTTAAAAAAAAAAAAACTATACTGTATTAGCTGTTCTATAATTGCAAGTGTGACAAGTGTATATGAACATATGAATAATAATTTAACAGATGGGTATTGAACTTTTCTTTGCCTGGGCACTGTGCCAGAGATTAAAATAAGTAAATTGTAGTAGCTGTATTAGGAAGGATAGTTTTTCTAAGCATTTTGCAATGCTGTTATAATATTTGAAATGAAAGAAAAGGAATCACTTTTTGAAGTATGTAGTATTAACTTGTGTTTCTTCTTTGATTCCATACATGCAGAGATTGATGAAGACGATTTTGATTGATTGCAGGTCATGCTGGCGGAACTCAAGGGCAAAGATGAAGTATATGCTGTGAAGGTCTTAAAGAAGGACGTCATCCTTCAGGATGATGATGTGGACTGCACAATGACAGAGAAGAGGATTTTGGCTCTGGCACGGAAACATCCATACCTAACCCAACTCTATTGCTGCTTCCAGACCAAGGTATGTTTAGGAAAGAGCTGGCTGAACACTATCTTGGGGTAGCCCATAGAACATTACGGTATCTTGACCGTCAGATCAAAAACCAATTTTAGGCCCCCTCCATTCTTCTCTCAAAGACCTCGTAAAGTGGAATGTATTTTACCCTTGAGAAGATCAGGGTGTATTTGAACAGCATCTTTTTTAACGTCATGGAATTTTCCATTCAATGTCGTGCTTGTGAAGGGCTGAGAGAGCAGTAGAACTCTTTACAAATACAGCTGGACAAAGCCAAATGACTAACCTCAGTGTTTGCTCATTGGGAAAACCAACAGACCTGGTTAATCCTAACCTATTCCTAACTTTCTATCACTTGTCAAATCACTTAAATTCCATGATGCTTTCAGGTCAAATGAAAGAGAGGAAAGACCACCCTAATTGCTTCTACTTTGTGTTATATCATATGAGATGAAGGATGTAAACAAATGCTTTAAATTCTGTAGTGAAATACAAACATAAGGTAGCATTTTGACTTGCCATGTAGGTGCCTGTGAACCAGAAGGTGGCAGTAAAGAAACAAAGATAATCTGTAACTATACTGTGGAGTCTGACCTATGAGAGTCATAATTGATTTGTTACTTACTCTTAGTAAAGAGAAGAAATGACAACATTTTTCATGTAGCTCTTATTTTATTATCCTTTTTGGGGAGGAAAATTAAAGTCTTTTAGCATGCATTATGGATTTTGTAGCATTTGGCTTCTTAGAAGGCAAAGGTGACCTCACCTGGAACTCCTGCCTGTGCCCACCTGGAGCCAGACAGTGAAGGGGCCTCATGGACAGGCAGTTCCTTAAACCTGGGCCTACTCTTGCCTTCATGTTGTTGTGATGCCAGTCTTTCCATTTAGGATTCAACAATTACTCATTTGGCAAATTTGTATCTTCTTATACTTTATTGAATCCTTCCCATGTGCCCCGTGCCGAACCAGGTACTGGAGTTACAGTGGTGAACAAGACCCAGTCCCTGATCTCAGGGAGTTTACAGTCTCTTTGGTACACTGTTTCCCAAAGGGTATTTCTCAGAACCCTAATCACTTGAGAAGCTGTAAAAATAAAGGACTCTGTGGCCTGTAGTTAGGGACACTGCACTCTTGACTGCTCTTGGATAGTCTCAACACACGTTTGTTTGTTTATTGAAGTCCCTGAAGAGACCTGCAATGGAGGGGAAAAAAAGAAAGATCCCCTTTGTTTACTGTTTCCCAACTTATTTTATCCTTAGTCACCACATCCCCCACCCCCACCTCAGCCACGCACACCACCTATTCCACACTGAGAAACACTGATCTGTAGGAATTTTTCCTACCTCTCTGTTCTCTTAAAAGAATAAGAAATCTTCTGAGAAATCTCAAAATCATTCTGCTTATCCTTCAAGGACCTTTATATTTCTTTGACTGTGCAACTTTCCTCGCAGACCCACATTTAAGAATCTATCCCTTTCTGAACAAGTACAGGATTTACTAGCTCTCCTGGTGTTTGAGGCGTGTTGTGTAATGCCCAGTGTGGATGGGTTAGTGCATGTATGCGTACATACGCAGAGTCCAAAGCGACGAAAAGGGCTCAGTGATGGGGTCAACTCTTTTCTTTTCCCCACGAAAGCATAATTCTAGATTACTGAGAAATATGTCATATCCTGCATATCTTTATCTTTCATGGTACTTATCACAGGGCCTCACACCTGGTGGGTGTCACAATTGTGACATAACACAATTAAGTGTGAGACGAGGTAAAGGATGTAAACAAATGTTTGAAATTTCATAGTGAAATACAAACATCAAGTGACATACAAACATAACATAGAGGCTTGGAAGATGTTTCTTTAAACCACCTCTTTTACTCTTCTTTTTGTACCAGTGTGGAAATTGGTTTTCAAAGAAGAAAAAGGTTTTGCCCATAGACTGCATATTGATGGAGTCGCACCTGGCCTCTCATCTGGTCTCTGGGGCTCCCAATCCAGTGGGGTCTTGCTCCACTATCACGTTGCTACTTTCTTGTGCCTAACCCAGCACAGTGTCTCCTCTGGGGGGATCCCTCGGATTACCCCTACCACCAGCAGGTAGCCATCTCTCCTGCTGTCTGAGGTGGTTTTCCTGGGCATACTGGCATTATTTCTTTGGGCACATTGCCAACATGCTAGGAGGGGTCCAGTCTAGCTGTGAGGATTCTGTGGAGCCCTTACATGGCGGATCTTGGAAAGCCACAGTTGAAGGTCAGCTTGGCGAAGGAGTGACAGAGTGGGAGTGGACATCTTCAGTGTCAGCAGAATTCTTCTCCGTGCACAGTAGAATAGCAAGGCTGAGGTATCTTTGTTGTGTGGCAGTTTTTGGAGCACAAAATGGCATTGAATGACTCCATGGATTTCCTTTATGGAAGAATAACAATCAAGCTGACATGTATATTTGGGTCTGTGCAGCTAAAGGATGAGGATAGGGAAAGTAGGGACTTCTCTGCAGTGCAGAGATTCGCTAACTGTTCTCAGGCTAGTGTCCCTAGCCACAGTTGCAGGAGCAACTTCATGCTACCTTTCCCATGCCACCACTACTCAGCAGAACACCTTGCTTTACACGACACATGTGTGTTCTCATTTTTCTAAAGTGCATCATATTTTAACCTCAGTAAAGGTCTTTCACTTAATAATGAAAGAAATCTTATGAAAAATCATTTTATAAACCCCCAACTGAACTTTTTAAAGATGTGACTCTTCCTATGACAATCAAGAGTCATGGTTTTAAAGAGTGGCTGTTATCACCTGACTCTGAGGTAGGTGCTGGGTGTGGGGTTATCAGCAAAGAGAAAGAAGATTCTCAAGTAGAGGGCTTTCCTGAGTAAGAGATTGAGAGGTTATCCTAACTTCCATGGGCAAAAACAGCACTGAATAGTTATGTTCTGGATCAGGGTATTTAAACTCTGAAGGGCAGGGTCTCTCTAGCATCTAGTGGAAAAAAGGGGATTGAGCCAGGCTTTGAAGGGGAAGGGGTTGGAGATGATTTGGGTGGGAATGGGATCTGGGTTTGAGAGTCATAGTTCAGTCTTGCATTAGTGTTACTTTTCCTGAAAAGAAAGGACTTTTCCTCTGAGCCACCACGAACCTGGTTTCGACTAAGACTGTAATTCATGATTCAGGGACACAAAGATCTGATTACAATCCTATTAAGATTTCTTTCATTCTTGTTTAATTATAACATGTAGAGCAACAATAATGCTAAGTCGGTTTTAATTACTTTTAGGTACGCCTTTATTTTTCAGTGTGTAGGAAGTAATAGTCGTTTTGGAAACATTCCTTTGAGAATTTCGTGATAGATTACACATGGCTCCAGTCTGTGCATGACATATAAATTACCTGGCAGGACTTAGAGGTGTGTAAAGTGAAAGTACTGTATCCAATAAGGCGACCAAGGGTGATGATTGTGGAAACCCATTGGCATTGGTCATTATGGTATAGTCAAATCTGGTCACTGCAGCCCACTGAATGACCAAGTTACAGTTAAAGAGCAATATGGGCTTTTCTGTACTAAGCCTACCTGCCCTTGGCTCATGTGCTCTGGTTATTCTCCATGGGATCTAAAAGGACAAAAAGCAAGTGAAATGGCTACAGCTTTCCAGTGCGAGTGAGAAAGGGCAGACAGGCCAATAAACTAAGCCAATAACTTTAATCAAATTCAAACCACTGTGTTTGACTTGAGTTCCCATTCTGCTGTGTGCTCTTTGGGATGCTAAAGTAATCTGAACCAACTAGGGAAATGTACAAAAATATATTTGATTAACTGCCAAAACATATGGTACAGAAAAGAAGGTAAGGGGATTCTGGTTCCAGCCAAGATGGAGCAGCCTCATTCCTCCAGGTATTCCCTCTTACAGTTAAAAAACCCTGACCATAATTCTTATTTTATTAAAGGTATTATGCACATCAAAACTGGTATAGCTATAAAGAATTATATCTGTTGATATGGATGAGAAACTAAGATTTTCATATTTAAAATTGTCAGATGACTTAAGTGGATGACATTAAATTATTGTCGGCAGTGTTTAATATTTTCTCATATATATGAGAAAAAAACATATTTTCTCATGCACACACAATTGTTACTTGCTTTAAAAAAGTTATGGCCTGTAATTATTTCAATGAATGTCCAAGTATTTATTGAGCATCTACTATGTGATAGATACTGTGCTAAATTTTAGGGTTACAAAGTTAAAAACATACCAACTCTGAACTCACAATGATTGTCTGGTGGGGAGATAGACATGCAAGGAGTGATATTCTACAGCATGGCAGCTCTTCTGATGGAACTACATAGATGATACATTTAAAGTTCTGCAGAAGGCAGGAAGCCTTCCTGGCAGAGGTGGAACCTAACCTGGACCTTGAAGCTTGGGTAGCATTTAGAAGAGGGTAAGGGCAAAGAGATGACTGATGACACCTAGAAATTATCCCCAAATCTCATTTTCATTATTTTTCCAATGCTAGAACTCCCAACTTATTCTGTGTCCTGCTTCTTCCAAGGAAATGATAATGGCAGAACCACAGCAAGGAAGAAGAGAAAGAAAGGGAGGGGATTTGGAAAATAAGGAGAGAAAGTCCTGTATCTGCAAGATCAGATGCTGGTTGGGACAGGTAATGCTGTGAGTCCTCTCCACTGAGCTGAGGAAACTGCTAGGCTCTTTATTTTTCAGTGTGTAGGAAGGAATAGTCCTTTTGGAAACATTCCTTTGAGAATTTCCTGATAGATTACACATGGCTTCAGTCGTGCACAACATATAAATGGGCTTGGTCAAGGTCAGGGTTGAAGAGGGTAAGTGACTTCAGGAATTGCCTCTTCCAGGTTCCCATCATCCATTGTCTGCTAGGGATAGGAGAGCCGCTGAGAGGTAGGTTTATCTCTGCTTTTCTTTTTGTTTTTATAGTTACAGTAAATAAAAGTACCAGGGATTTTTAGGTTCTACATATTTGTATTTATGATCCCGTCAT